ATCTGTTGCATTTCTATACACTAACGATGAACTAACAGAAAGAGAAATCAGGAAAACAATTCCATTCACTATTGCATCAAAAAGAATAAAATACCTAGGACTAAACCTAACGAAGGAAGTGAAATGACCTATACTCCGAAAACTACAAGACACTCATGAGAGAAATTAAAGAAGACACCAGTAAATGGAAACCCATCCCGTGCTCATGCATAGGAAGAATTAATATTGTCAAAATGGCCGTCCTGCCTAAAGCAATCTACAGATTCAATGCAATCCCTATCAATATACCAATAGCATTCCTCAATAAACTAGAGCAATTCCTTAATACCTTAATAAAAAAAAATAGTTCTAAAATTCATATGGAACCACAAAAGACCCCAAGTAGCCAAAGCAATCCTGAGAAGGAAGAATAAAGCTGGTTGGATTATGCTCCCCAACTTCAAGCTCTACTACAAAGCCACAGTAATCAGGACAACTGGAAACAGGCTAAAGAGCCCAGATATAAACCCAAGCATATATGGTCAATTAACATACGATAATAGAGCCATGGAAATACAATGGGGAAGTGACAGCCTCTTCAACAACTGGTGCTGGGAAAACTGGGCAGCTACATTTAAGAGAATGAAACTGGATTGTCTAACCCCATACACAAAAGTAAACTTGAAATGGATCAAAGACCTGAATGTAAGTCATAAGGCCATAAAACTCTTAGAAGAAAACACAGGCAAAAATCTCCTGAATATAAAGATGAGCAACTTTTTCCTGAACGTATCTCCTCGGGCAAGTGAAACAAAAGCAAAGATGAGTAAGTGGGATTACATCAAACTAAAAGCTTCTGTACAGCAAAAGACACCATCAGTACAACAAAAAGGCATCCTATAATAAAGGAGAATATATTTGTAAGCGACATATCCAACAAGGGGTTAACATCTAAAATATAGAACTTACACTCAACAATCAAAAAGCAAATAACCCAATTAAAAAATGGGCAGAGGATACAAACAATTCTCCAAAGATATTGAGATGGCCAACAGGCACATGAAAAGATGTTCCACCTCACTAATTATCAGGGAAATGCAAATTAAAACCACAATGAGGTATCACCTCACACCAGTTAGGATGGCCAATCGAAAAGACTAGGAACAAATGCTGGCGAGGATGCAGAGAAAGGGGAACCCTCCTACACTGCTGGTGGGAATATAAATTAGTTCAACCATGTGGAAATCAATATGGAGGTTCCTCAAAAACTAAAAATAGAAATACCATTTGACACATGAATTCCACTTCTAGGAATTTACCCAAAAACAAGATCCCAGATTCAAGAAGACATATGCACCCGTTTATTGCAGCACTATTTACAATAGCCAAGATATGGAAACAACCTAAGTGTCCAACAGTAGATGGATAAAGATGTGGTACATATACACAATGGAATATTATTCAGCCATAAGAAAACAAATCCACCGATTTGCAACAACATGGATGGAGCTAGAGGGTATTTATTATGCCAGTGAAATGAGCCAGGAGAAAGACAGGTACCAAATGATTTCCCTCATTTGTGGAATGTAACAACAAAGAAAAACTGAAGGAACAAAACAGCAGCAGACTAACAGACTCCAAGAAGGGACTAGCAGTAACCAAAGGGAAGGTGTGGGAGATAATGGGTAGGGAGGTAGGGAGAAGGGGATTTAGGGGTATTATGATTGGCACACATGGTGTGTGGAGGGGTCATGAGGAAGGCAGTATAGCACAGAGAATACAAGTAGTGACTATATAGCATCATACTATGCTGATGGACAGTGACTACAATGGGATGTGGGGGGAACTTTATAATATGGGTGGATGTAGTAACCACAGTGTTGCTCACGTGAAACCTTCACAAGACTATATATCAATAATACCTTAATTTAAAAAAAGATACTCATAGGAGAAATTTAAGACACCAATAAGGGAAAGCTATCCTGTGTTCATGGGTAGGAGAAATCAATATTGTCAAAATGACCATCCTGCCCAAAGCAATTTACAGTTTCAATGCAATCCCTATCAAAATACCAATGGCATTTTTCAGAGAACTATAGCAAATAATTCTAAAATTCATATGGAACCACAAAAGAGCCCGAACAGTTAAAGCAATTCTGAGAAAGAATAATGCTCCCTGACTTCAAGCTATACTACAAAGCTACAATAACCAAAATATTTTTGGTACTGACAAACAGACCCATAGATCAATGGAACAGAAGAGAGCCCAGATATAAAACCACACATATATGGTCAATTAATATACAATAAAGGAGTCATGATACAATAGGGAAAAGACAGCTTCTTCAACAACCAATTTTGGGGAAACTTGACAGCTACGTGCAAGAGAATAAAACTGGACTACTGTCTGTCTATACACAAGAGTAGATGAAATGAATTAAAAACCTAAATATAAGACATGAAACCATAAAACCCTTAGAAGAAAACATAGGCAAAAATCTCTTTAACATAAATATTACCAATTTTTTCCTGGACATATCTCCTTAGGCAAGGGAAACAAAATAAAAATATGAATGAGTAGGACTACCTCAAACTAAAGAGCTTCTGTACAGCAAATGACACCATCAGCAGAACAAAAAGACATGGGAGAATCTATTTGTAAATAATTCACCCAGTAAGGGGCTAACATCCAAAACATAAAACTCATACCTCTCGACACCAAAAAAAAAAAAAAAACAACCAATTAAAAAATGAGCAGTAGGACCTTTACAGGTATTTCTCCAAAGAAATATATATGGCCAACAGTCACACAAAAAGATGCTCCACATCACTAATCGTCAAGGAAATGCAAATCAAAATCACAGTATCACCTCACACCAGTTGGAATAGGAGGTATTATCCAAAAGACAAGCAATGACATGTGTTGGCAAAAATGCAGAGAAATGGGAGCCCTTATACAGTTGGTGGGAATGTAAATTAGCACAACTGCTGTGGAAAGCAGTATGGAAGCTCCTCAAAAATCTAAAAATAGAAATACCATTTGACCCAGTAATTCCACTCCTAGGAATTTACCTGAAGAAAACAAAATCTGACTCAAAAGATATATGCACCCATTTATTGCCACCATTCGCAATATCCAAGATATGGAAGCAACCTAAGTGTCCGTCAATAGATGGATAAAAAATGTACATATACACAATGGAATATTGTTCAGCCATAAAAAATGAAATCCTGCCATTTGTGACAATATCCAAGATATGGAAGCAACCTAAGTGTCTGTCAATAGATGGATAAAAAGGATGTACATATACACAATGGAATATTGTTCAGCCATAAAAAATGAAATCCTGCCATTTGTGACAACATGGATAGAGTATTATGCTCAGTGAAATAAGCCAGGTGGAGACAATTACCCTATGATTTCTTATTTGTGGAATATAGAAACAAAGCAAAATTGTATGAACAAAACAGCAGTAGACTCAGACACTGAGAAGTGACTAGTGGTTACAATGGGGGAGGAGATGGTGTGGGTGGGTAGGGAGGGCGAGGTAGAACATGAGTCACAAAAACTTTCAATCATAGTATAATTTGGTCACAGGGATAATAGTACAGCACGGGGAATACAATCAATGATTCTGTAACATGTTTCTATGCTGATAGTAACTAAACCAGAGAGGGTGTGTGTTGTACATTTGAAACCAATACAGACTGAGTATCAACAATACTCAAAAACATACATAAAAGGACAGAGAATCTGTGGCATCTTGCTGCACTGATGGGACAGTGACTGCATTGGGGTATGGGTGGGGACTTGATAATATGGGTAAATGTAACCACATTGTTTTTTCATGTGAAACCTTCATAAGAGTGTATATCAATCAGACCTTAATAAAAATAAAGGACAGAGAACCTGAATAGGCATTTTCCCAAAGATGACATACATGATGCTCAGCAACAGTAATCATCAGGGAAATGCAAATCAATACAAGGTAGTGCCTCATACTAGTCAGAATGGCTAGTATCAAAAAGACAAGTGTTGGCAAGGATGTGGAGAAGAGAACCCTTGTGCACTGTTGGTGGGAGTGTGAAATGGTGCAGCCATTGTGGAAAAAAGTATAGAGGTTCCTCAAGAAATTAAAAAGTAGAACACGATCCACAACTCCACTTGTTATTATAAAATCAGACATCAGTAGCATTTTACATATTCACGATAACCCCATATATCCTTGGTCAGGCAGAAATTTTCTTGCTCCTTGTCAAGGACTCTTCCATGGTAATAAAATAAATGACTGTGGAAACTTATTTTGCTTTGTCACTGATAAGGAGTATGGCAGGAGGAGGAAGGTGAATCACTCTCATCAACACAGTAAGAAACATCCATTATTTGATGCCTCAGGAACTTCAGGTCACGTGCTGCATTAGGACAGAGTACAACGCAGTTGTTCTGGTATTCTACATACTGAGAGAGGTTCTGCCAACTCCCTTTCTCTCAACTCCACAAAAATACATTAATCCTTCAACTTATAGCTCAACTGTTTATACCCATTAACAAAGGAAGCAGAATCTAGAGATGGTTTACCACTTTGCCTTGGGTTTCATTTTCTTCTCAGAATTCCACTACAGTACAGTCCTTAATGACCTGACACTCAATGCACCTTTTTCCAATTATGATTCAAAATTTACTAACACCAGGCCTGCTACTGAGAAAGATGTATATTAAGCTGTTAGGGGGGACCTGATGCTGCGAATGAATTACTATGTGAAACCACCTATGAATTGTTGACAGGTGGTTTCTCCCTCACCTCTACCTCCCAGGGAACAGAATATACGAAATGCTTTGGACTACTATCCTCCGGTCTGTTACCCCAAACAACAAAGACTACCATTACCTTTCTACCTACAATGGTTTATCTGAGGGAAACAATTTTTAAAATTAATATACTTGCAATTCCAGCAAAATAAATGTGGCTTCTTTGATACTTGATGTACCAATAACAAACAAAGGCATACAATGCTTTTTTAAACTTTATTTCAATGTAACTATGCTTACAGAAATACACTCATATTGGTTAATAGAATGCAATTTAACTTTAACTTATCCTATACAATTTGGACCAAAAACTCAGTACGTGGTTAAAAAAAAAAAATTGCAATCTGGTTTATTTTTCATTTATTACAAATGTATATATAAAAGATCCTCCATAAAATGCTGCTTAAGCTGGCAGCAAGAACCTTGAGAAATTAACCTTTGGTTTGTCTCTGAAAAATAACACGTATTGCACTGTAAAAGTTTATAAAATTGGTGCAACAAAACATTGTTTTAATGTTTCAATGACAGTTTACAGAGTTCAGTAACTAATGGATGTTGAAAAAGGGTGGAGAAAGCCTATGTACACAAAATGTGAAACTGTAAAAGCTACCCGATTTAGTTAACATTGCATGTAGATAACAAAATCTACATAAGGTAAAATTCAGAAAGTTTCTTAATCTGAATTAACACCATCAGCTCACTTCATCTGCTGAGGTCAACAAGGGAACTGCATACCAGCTGTTTTCCTGATTTATGCAAAAAAGAAAATTAAGTTTCTTCCCCAGCTTCTCAGTCCAGAACTGATGTTCTACTACAGGCAAGGTGTTTCTTCCATTGTCAGCATTCATGGGGTGACATGCAAATGAGGTCTACTTGGGTTTAAAATTGAATTAACACTCATATGCAAAATAGTCCCTAAAGTTAAAGACCACATGACTTTAGAAGTGATTCTAAAATATAAAATGGCCCTTTTAGAAGACTAGAGCAAAATATCTGGTCAGTTATAAAAGCATTATCAAAAAAATGTAGCCTGTTGTGAAGTACACCTCAATTTAAAAAAGAAAAAAGCTCCAAAGAAGCAGCTCTGAAAAGGAAAAAATATAACTTAAAATATCTTGAAAACCAATGTGAATATAGGTTCAAAACACAGTTAAAAAGAGATACATTTTTATAAGACTACCTAGGATTAGGCTTATAATGTATTCTAGTATTTCAAGTTTATCTCTAGTTACTAAACATCAATTTACAAATCACATGTTCACTTTTTATTCCTTTATCAAAAGGGAAAATTCTATCTTCAATTCTATCCAGTGGAGGGGAAACTGAGAAAACAAAGCAATTCAAACAGTTCCATGCAAATATCACATTTTTCAAATGGAAGAACTCCCAACTAGACCAGAAGTTCATATTACTAATATACTTTTCATTGAAACAATTTTAATAAGTACAAATACATGGCATTAAGGTTCAGAACCTAATATAGGCCTGACAATCAAGTCCTTGTTTTCTGGAAGAAAGGCCTCACATCCCACTGAATTTCCAGTAACAATGTTTTCACAGATCAATTTAATAAGGGGTTTTAATTTCCTTCATATTTTTGTTTTTAGCATTTAGAATTAGTCCAATTTCTCAGAAATCTAATTTTTTTCTTTTGTAATATGAAATAATCCACAAAAACCTCTTATCCAAACTGATTCCAATCTCCAATCTGTACTTAACATGGATCTTTTTGTATCTAATATAAAAGGAAACTTACATAAAATGTACCAATGAATATTTGAACTAGTTGTTAGAAGATTTAAACTAGTTTTATAATTTAAGTTTTAAAACATAAATATTTGCAGCTTGATCTTCTGTTGACAATGATTGTCGGAGCCAAGAATTCACCTAGAATTCAACATCATTTACAAATTCCCATTCATGCACACAAAACACACACCATTAAAACACAACTTACTCCTCATGTCTGGAGAGAATCATCTTCTTTAAATCTTTGGCCTCCCAGTCAATTCCAAGTTCAAATGTCTTTTAACTCAAACTTCATTCTCAGATTTTTAATAAGTTCTCCACCCACACTTCATCAACGCTGTTTTCTAACCTTTCATGTTGCACTGCCAAACTCTTGAACCCTGCCTCAAAGAGATCACCAGATAAAAGAAAATAAATGAAGTATAAAGTGGTTATTTTAGAATAGAACATGGAAGGAACAGAATTGTTTAAGATTCCCTATTGGGATCATAGTTTATTTTACTGCAATGAGTAACTGCTATCAGCAAGAAAAATCCTATGTCGGATTTTTTTATATTCCTTGGCAAATTAGCCAAAGAACCTACGAAAAAGTCTGGGAGTACACACACTTTTTCATATGAAGTGCCCCCCAGGAACATGAGGATAGCTGTAATTCATTTGAGGCCTCACCTGTAGAAAGAGGCTGTCACAGGACAGCCAGGACACCCACTAGTTTGTGGAGATACCTGAGAAAATGTGATTTTAAAAATCTGGACTGTACAGAAGTCTAACTAGCCTTTTCTATTGTATTCACAGGAAGGAGTAGCTGGTCTACCTGTACTCATCCTCTCTCATGCTAGATTTTCTGTGTAATGCTATGGCTTTGGAACCTCACAACTGATAATCTGTGTAACTTAAAGGAGTGATTATGCCTCCTAATTCCAGATTTGCAGTTTCCAAGTTATCACTTATAGTTCTTTATTCAGCTGAATAGCCACATGAACACCAACCACCTATGAAAAAATGGTTTTCCTAAAAAATCTGACTTAACAGTGTACATTTAGGAAGTAGCTGTACTAAAACGCCAAAATTTACTTATGGTTGGTATTTGAGATAAAAATCCACTCAATATAGAGCCTAGTGGTTTATTGCGAAATTCAAAATGAGCGCTGTGAATTCACTACATCCATTTAAAATAAATAACTTATATGAAATACAGATTCTGGCATAGAAATGTGAAAATCAAAATCAATAGATTGAACCTGCATGCTTCATTTGCTCACAAATTTGCTCACACTAATATTCTGCAAAAGACAATTGCAGCAAAGGAAAAAAGAAAACTGCCCTTTGCAAACAAGACTAAAAGCATCCCTCCAAAGAGGACAAAATAAACATGCATATATATATATATATATATATATATACACATATATATATACACGTATAAAGTGTTACTGCTCAACACAAATGCTATTTCTAGAAAAATTTAACTGCATAGGTTAAAAAAAAATGTGCAACATCTTAAGCCATTAAAGCACCAAAATAAAAAAACACACCAAAATCATTGTTTTTATGACGATTAACATACACAAATAAGAAATATTGATCAAAACTTAGAAAGTAAATACCTGGACTGATACAATGTCCATTGTTGGGGAACTTCTCAATTTAAACGTCTCTTTTATCTAAAAAATTTTAAAGTGCTAACTTTATATAAAGCAGGCAAATTCTTCAAGTAATTTGCTATTTAAGTAAGCCAATTTTTATAGAGCTAAACAAGAAACTACAAATAAACTGAAGTGAAACAGGCAGACAGACATGGGGGAGAAACCGACAAGTTATAGACAAAGCAACAGATTTTCATATACCACCTAGGCCTTCTCATTTCAGTTAAATGCATAAGCTAACAGATTTAGGTATCTGCTGGTTTAGTACACTAACTTCCTTGGATTTGCTCAAATCTATCCATCAACAGGTATATAGTCCTAGGGAAAAGTGTCACTTAAAAATCAACAGTGGACACTAATTAAAGCAATTTTAAAAGTAAAAGGTTGTCTACTACTATAAATGAATATAAAGTGTAATAGATCTTACAAACTAAGAACTGAAGCCTTGTCCAAAGCTTAATTACTCCTGTCCTTTAGCTGCTTTTTCAAGGAAGTATACATTAACCAAATGGCGATTAAGGTGTTTGCTATAATCTTTTTCCTTTCTAAAAGAACGATCACAGAAGATACAAACGAAATCTCCATCAGCCACTTTGACTGCCAAGGCTTCCTTAGCGTTTCTTCTACTAGCTTCTTGTGGAACTGGCCGAGCCCCATTCAATCCAGAATCATCACTACCCTCTGACATGTTGTCACTTAGATCACTTCCATCGTGACTGTGGATGCCTTCATCTTCATCCATTTCCTGAGACTTATTTATTGCCGTGGTGACAGGAGGTGATGCCACAGCAGTTTTGGACACTACTTCATGTTTTTCTGTTGGTAGAGGAAGCAGTGGTGAAATTAGTTCTTCAACTGCTGAGTTTCTGCCAGGGAGATTCTCTGTTTTATTCTCATCAGTGTCCATTTCCATTTCAGAAAGCACAGTGTCAGCCTGCCATCTGCCATCTAAAGTTCCACCCTCTGGCATATTCAGGTTTTGTTCCGAGGATGAAATACTGGCAGATTCCTTGATAACAGCAGCAAGTCCTGCTGGACTCTTATCTGCCTCTTCTGCTTCTACTTTTTGAAGAGGAGTTTCTTTATTTCCTTTGCCTTCGCTGAGTAATTTTTGGTCTTTTGTCTCCTCTTCTTTTAGGTTTTCCTTTGGCAGCAGTGGTGATGGTGGTGAGAGATCCAGTGCATCAGCATTTTCTTTCAGAGGCTGGCTATCCTTAACAGGCACTAAGCCAACTTCAATAAGGACTTGCTCCTTCCGTACCATTTCACTCAGCATGTTGGCCTTTTCCTTTTTATTATCTTTTTGAGGAGACTTTTTGGGAATCGGTTCCTTGTGAAGGGGAGCCTCCATTTCAACAGGCCCCTTCTGAACAACCTCTAGCTGAGCAGGCCCCATGGGAGACGGCGGCTCCATGTGGGGAGACTCTGGCTGGGGAGGCCCCGGCTGGGCAGACTCTATAGGAGAAGGTGGCTCAGTCTGAGCAGGTTCCATCTGCAGAGGCTCTACCTGAGTACCCCTCTGAGCAGTCTCCTTCTGAACAGGCTTGCTGCTTTTTTTACTTAATTTATTTTTCAGAGTTTTCTTCTTTGCAGTTTTTTTCAGGCATGTATTTTGCTTTTTATTCTCAAGTTTGCCATCAGCCTTTGGCACTTCTTGATTATTTCTGGATTTGCTTTCTGCCTTCTTTTTCTTTTTTGTCACAGGTCCCTCATCAGTAATAGGATCTTGTAAGGAATGGACTTCAGCTTCCACCTTCCTTTTGCTTTTCTTGGTTTTACAAGTTTTTTCTGAATTATTCCCTGTCTGCATATCCATTTCTTTAGTTTCCACTGCAGATTTGCGAGTTCTGGTAGTAATCTGGATTGAGGCATTACTGCAAGGCTTTTTCTCTTTTGAAACATTGTCTTTTTTCTCCACTTTCACAGCCCTCTCATTTTTCTTTCCAGCCACATCCCCCTTTATTTTTGTCTGTTCTGCTTCTGTTTTTTCATTGGTCATATTGTTATCAGGCAAGTCAGCCTCTCTCTTTTTGGTTTTCTTTAGTTTCACTTTTGAGACATCCATTGTTTTATTAGGACAAGTAGGATGCTTAGATTTGAAATGATACTGCAGATTACACTTCTTAGAAGCCGCATAGTCACATACAGGGCAATTGAACTGCCGTGGATTAACATGTAACTCTACATGTTTTTTGAAGTTACTTCTGTCTGCTGTTTTGTAGTCACAGTGTGGGCAAGTAAGAGGTTTAGGCCCATTGTGAACCTGTCTTGCATGGCGGGTAACTTCATGTTGATTAGAGGCCACATAACTGCACTGATCACATTTAAATGGCTTCTCACCTGAAGGTAAACAAGATACGTTAGAGAAGACACAGATTAAGAAATGAATTTAAGATTTTATTAAAATGTATTTATAAAGATTGAATATATGTAAAAGAAAACCACAAAAGCTATGTATTGAAAAGACTGTATCATGCATCTTACATTTACCATATTTATTTGTTTATCTTTCCTCTATCCCTTGACATTGATTCCCACACCAAATGGAGGAATAATTATCTCAGTTAACCACCATCTTCTAAAAAGTTCATCAAGAAAGGGCTCTCAAGCACTATTAAAGAAAATAGATCCATGAAGCAGTACATTATCATTTTGGGCTCTAGATGTTAATTTTGGAGCAAGGCACTCAAAGAGAGAAGATAAATAATGCTTTGTTTAGTTAAAACAAACATATAATGGAGTAAATATAAAATTCCCATACATTTTTAAGATAAGTCTTGAGACTTCAAAAGAAATTATCTTACACTCCAGGCTAACACTCACTCCCAGGCCTTCTATGCAAAAATTTTAAAACAGTGCTTTGATCTCAGGAAGCAAAATACTTTTTTCTCTAGATTTTTTTGTCCATAGTGGTAAGAGTTGAGTCAAGTTTCAAACTCAGCAAACTTTTCCAATACCTGAGCTGTTATTTTAAAGCAGTAATATAGCCAAGTCATAAAACTTGATTTTTCCCTATCTTCTTCTAAAAAGTGGGCAAAGAAAATAGGTAAATGATAAGGGGCATACAAATAGATATGGTATGTAAAATAAGTAAACAAATCATAATCACAAGTACATACAAAACCAGAACCACCCCAGCCCCCAAATTAAAGGTGTTAAGATTATCACATTCTACCTGAATACATACCCATCTAGACACACTCTAGCAAATATTACCAAATGGTATCCATACCCCACTGGTCCAATGGAATGCATAGTAGAAAAATGGAAATTGACATTTATGAAAATTCATCTCTCAAACATTCACAAATTCTTATCAAATCTAATTTTTTCATAAAGCAAAAATACTCAGACATTAAAACCATGTAGATGGAAGTATTACATGATTAGAAAATGTCTGATTAAATACTTAATAACAAAAACAAAAACTTATGCTGGGATGTCAGATAGGATATGCAGTTAATTGGACAACTCTTTTCCATATTAGTCCACAAACATTCTATAAACAGAGGTTTCTACAACATGCTGCATTAATATAGACTTGGCCCTACCTTGTCCTCTCCAATTAATGTCTTCGAAAGAGATAATCATGGGCTTAACATATATATAGACACAGAATGGGGAAAGATAGGTGGCATAAGGTTAAGAACTTGTTCTAGGGTAAAAACATCTGGGGGCCCTGCAACTACTGTGAGATCTTGAGCAAGGTACTAAAATCTAAGACTCAATTTCCTCACCTGTAAAATACTTTTGAGTGTTGTGAGCTATAAATAATCTAATCCATATAAAGCACTTAGCATGAGGCAAATAGTCAAGCAGTCACTAAGCATTACCTGTAAATCATCACTTTTAGAACAAATTTAATTTTTGGTATGGGCAAACTAAAGGGAAGATTTTTTCATGTGTTCATTCTGCCTTTCCATATAAACCTTATCACTGAGTAAATATAATAGCTGACAGTTTTCATAAAAATATTTGTGCTAAGAATTGTAATGAAAATATCATTATATTATAACCCCTAATGAATGAGGGTACTTACATAGCAATCATCACTGTGTAAGCCACCACCTATGAAATGGCCAGAAAATAGCACTCACAGGAATCTGTTTAAAATCTGATGGCCTAATTCACTTGTACCATGCACCCTGCCCAATTTTTGTTTTACTGATATTAAATCTTGTTTGTAATAGAAGATTTAGTCATCAAATTTTTAGTTTACTAGTACCCAGCTGAATATAAATTTATATGCCCTGTACCAACAGTTAATGTAATTCCCTTTTCTAAGTCTAATAATATTTATCCTACATTTTTCATCTTTAAAATGTGTCAGATGTCTATTTTTATTCTTCCTCAATTAACTAAGACAACTTCAATAACTAAGTAAGACAACTTCAAAAGGGCAAAGATTTTTACAAGCTTTACATATTTTTATCAAGAATCCAGAAAGAACAGCAAAAGAAATTTTAAATTAAAGAGTAATAGGGGCATACTTTAATACTACACATGGGATGAATCTCAAAAACATTTTATAGAAAAATGATACAATGTTCTTTTTGATGGGAGTCAAGAGTGTCAAGTCATGGGAAGACTATGGAGTGCTGATTGAAAAAGGTCATGTAAGGAACAAATTTTTTTCTCAGGGTGGCAGAAATGTTTCATGTCTTCATCTGGGCTGGTCAAACGAGAAAATGCAAACTCACTGAGCTGTATACTTAAGGTATGTGAGTTAAACCTCAACAATCAATGTTTAAAAAATTATCCATGAAGACTAAGCCATAACATCTTTCAAATAAGCCCAGCTATTAAAGTAATTCCTCCATAATAATTATCAAACACTTCGTAAAAGGAAAATTTGCTGTGAAATAAAATACTTTTCTACCTTTAAAGAGTCATAAATGAAGGTGGATCTTGCCAAGCTGTCAATTCCTTTTAACAAGCATCCATTATGCTCACAGTGGGGATGTATTCAAAATAGACTCCTACACTAGGAGGATGGGGAACTAGCAGTGTGATGTATACAAAAATATAACAACAAATTCAAACTGGATGTAATGGTATTATGTCCACTGAGATTAGGAAAGGGAGAGCTGTGGATATTGAGTGTCTCTAAGACTACTTTAATACTTTAATAGATGGAAACACCAACAAAATGGGGAACAACAGATTAGTAGTTTAGTGTGTATTTTTCACCAAACATTTTGATCCCTGTCTAAATTTGGCCTGAGAAGACTTAGCCTATGGATAAAGTGCTCTAAATAAATAACCTACATGGTTTTGTTTCATAAACCAATCTGTCAGTTTATAAAAAATATAACTCAACAGAGTCTATTTCTTCCAGAAATAAGAAAAGGAGCACACTTCTCTTCCCTAAAATACATTCACATGAACAAGAAACCAAAATGCCCAAGGATATCTATAAAGATCAAGCTTCAGGCCACAGAGAAGGCACCCAAGATACTCACTCCATGCAAACCAGTCAGAAAGACTATCTGTCCAATTTGACCTAACTTTGCCTCACTTTATCTGCAAGAGTTATCATAACAACTTCTAGTTAAGTGTATTGAAACATAAGGTCTGCTGAAAATAACTGACAAACTCAGACACAAAACAGACTGACCATGTTTGTTTCCTGTTTGTGACTCACAAACTGCTGGCATCCAATACAAGATAATGAATGACTCTGCTCTCTCCATACATTATGGTTCCAATTTCATTATGCTGTAGATTCTTGAGCTATTTTTCTAAGCCATAATATTCTTTTAACACTGTTGACAACTGAAAATGGGAGGGTGGGGGAGTCTCAGGCCAAATTATAGCTCTTCTAATTTGATAATCTTAGATAAAGCATTTATCCTTTCTATTCCTGACTCCTAATCTATAAACTGGGACTAAGTATTTTAGAATATTCAGATAACAAATCTGGTTTTCAGCATGCATACAATAGTGCTCATTAAGACTTAAAATACTTGCTCTACTGTAACAGCCAACAACTGAAAATCACCTTTAAAATATAGCAAAGAAAACTCAAAAAAGAGCAAACAAAACCACTCAATTATTGACTAGTATAAAACATCATATTCATATAGTGATAGAAGTATTATGGATTCAATGAAAAAGATGCAAATGTGTCATCATTCTAATCCACTGACTCGAAAATACTAGTAACAGGTCACCCAGATATGATGACAAATGAAACATATTAAGTAAAATTCAAGCATCTAGATTTAATTTCCAGTATACAAGTAATACAATGCACAGGGAGAAAGGAAAACTAAATGAAACCAGGAGAAAGGAAGACAAATCCAGAAGAGGGAATATTCTACAGGGAAAATGGACATATTATTGTCAATGCCTTCGTTTCCCCCACTTGTAAAAAATGGGGACAATTAACAATTTATACATGATAGATTAGTTATGAAGTCTAAAATGAGTTAACTAAAGCTCTTAAATGGTTTACTTAAGGGCTAGAAATAAAATGCAAGCAACATACATAATTTTAAATTTTCCAGTAGTCATATTACAATGATAAAAATGAAGTAAAATTAATTCTACTACTTATTTAGTTGTAGTCATGTCATCATGTAATCAGTATTGAAAAATTGATTATTTTACATTCTTTCCTTCATACTGTTTGAGTTCTGGTATGTATTTTACACACCTCAATTCAAACTAGCCACATTTTACAAGCTCAATAACCACCCATGGCCAGTGGCTACCAAATCAGACAGCACAAATTTACAGTAATTAATGGTTAACATATTTGCACAGACTTTTGTAAACATCAAGATTTTCAGCACAGTTCCCCATAGAGATATATATTTTCTAAATCTGGCAGGAGAGTATTCTGATCAGACATGGCAATTCACCAAGAGTCAACATGACCCAAATGAAATAATCATCTATTCAACACCATCTACGCTAGTATTTACTTTTTTAACTTTGCTTCTACAAACTGGGGGCCAATTCTGGTTAGTGATCATGATTATATAGTCTTCCATTTTATAAATTATAGATGAATAAATTAGGTCTTGGAAGTTAGGCTTTTGTAACCAGTCCCCAAAAGCCCTATCAACTCTCAAAAGGGAACGAACTCAAACGGCGGGCTCTGAGAAGGAGTTCCTGAAACCTGGCAACCACACACTACGAAACCTGGTGTTATGAATACTGTTTGTGGGGGGCATGGGGAGGAGTGTTTTAGAAGGCAGGAATTGTTCAAAAAGGATGAAGCAGCCTTGGTCTAGGATAGCAATTCAGTGTTTATTAGTCACGGACTTGTTGAGGATCTGATGAAAATTAATGACCTTCCTCCTAGGAAAAGCACAAGCACACATTCAGCTTCAGGAGTTCCACCAATGGACTCCTTATTAAGAATCTCCTTTTAAATATAGCTCCACACTAAAAGAACACTGACTTTTAATTCTAATTTCTAATTTCTATGAAAAATAAATCTTAAATAGTGACCCAGTTTCAGGTCTAGAACTTCCTTATAACTGTAGTTTACTAAAAATGATAGAAAAGTTCCCATTTCTTACCAACCTGAATGAGTACGCATATGTCTAGTTAGATGAGTCTTCTGAGAACTTGAGTAAGGACAAAGCTCACACTTATATGGGCGTTCTCCTGCAAAATATGATTAGTATTTAAATATGACCAAAAAATGCAAATACAATTCTAACAGTATATGTAATATTCAGTACTAAGCATTTTTTAACAAGGCTTTTTTTTTTCCTCTTCTTGAAAAAGGATTTTTTATCATGTAGGAGAAATGTTAATAATTTAACTCAGAATTCACATAACTACATTTCAGCTTTGCTGACAAATGTAACTGGCTTTCTGAATTCTCACAATTCTTTCAACTTTCACAGTAATACTACCCATTACTACATTAAACATTAATAACTGAAAATTAGCATTGTATGAAGGCACATTCTTTTATTTAATTAGAATTATCCTTAAAAAAAAAAAAAGAAATCTACCCCAATTTTCTGAAGCTATGGCTTGGGTAATTTTTTTGATTCCTATAAAGGACAAATCTACCATTAGAAAACGTTAGCTTAAAGCAATAAGACTTTGAGTGGAGACACTGTAGTTCTAGGCTAAAAATTTCAGGTAATGACAGAAACTTACATGAAATAGTCAAGTCAGTCTTAAAACAAATCATACTCCTAAAGCCATAGGAACTGAAAGCAACTGAAGATGAGAAGCCAGGGACATAGTACTAAAATACTTAATACTGAAAGGCAGGAAATGTGTTTTTTTGGGAAATGGGTTGTCAACCACAGAACAGACATAAAAGAAAAAAGGCTTGACAACTGGTTTTCATCTAGTCTTTGGCCACAAAATAATAGTTGCAATGTTCGGCAAGTTTCCTCATCTATAAAAGTAACAGTACCTTGACTTCCCAGAATTGTTGAGAATTTAAATTAAGATAATACATGCAGAGCATTTAACATTGTGCCTGGCACATAGTAAAGCCCTCAACAAGTATCAGTTATTATTCTGTAAATACAACAGATTAGAGTAACAAATATGTCTACTAGAATGCAATGAAGACAAAAAGTGAACATGAAAAAAGGAAAATGTGGTGATGAGTGGGAAATGTGTTCCTATTAACTGTTCAGCTGTTACTATCTGGTAGCTATAGATCAGCTGGCTGTAAATAGCTCACTGCAACAGAATGCCTACTTTGACCCAGAAGAATCTTAAGATAGCTTAAAAAACACTGAATGTGTTTCTGTAAAGAACATGAAAGAATGGCCAAAAAGAATATGAAAAGATGCACAATTTTATTAGCCATGAGGGAAATGCAAATCAAAACTACCAGGAGATGAAGACGTCACACCCACAAGGATGGCTATAATCAAGATGACAGATATTAACAAATATTGGTTAGGATGTGGAGAAATTGGAACTCTCATATACTGCTGGTGGAACTGTAAAATAGTGCAGCCACTTTAACAGTTTGACAGTGCCTAAATGACTAAAGAGTTACCATGCAGCCTAGCAATTTTACTCCCAAGCATATATATACCCAAGAAAAATGAAAACATTATATCCTCACAAACTTGTACATGAATGTTCATAGCATTATTAGTAACAGCCAGAGAGTGGAAACTTTGGCTATATTCAAATATCCATTAACTGATGAGTGGGTAAACAAAATATTATGTATCTATACAAGAGTATTATTTGGCAATAAAAGGAAAACAAGTACTGTACGTACAATGTGGATGAACCTCGAAGACATTATGCTAAGTGAAAAGTTAGTCACAAAAGGACCAATTATTGTATGATTCCACATTATGTAGTGTCCACCACAGACCAATCCATAGTGAATTGTATGGTGTATAAATTGTATCTCAAGATGGTACAAAATAAAGTTAATGAAAGAAAAAATACCATTGTAGATTAACAGGAGGGAGCAATTAAGGATAACTTACTTTTAAATTCTTTTTAACAGAATGGATTGCTTCCAGCTGTACAATTTTACAAACTAGAGGAATAAATACTTTAGAAAATGTAGGGATTTTTCCATCACACTTGCAAAATGTCACCTTCTGAAGTATCATTTATGAACTGGCTTAGTATCAAAACCATGAAATTAAAATTTTTTTGACTGAAGATTCATATAAAAAATCCTCTGCCCCTCACCAAGTAAATACCTTATTATAAAGAGATATTTGGAATTCTGAATCTTAGTTGTATGTGACTTTGAACACATGACTTCAGGCTTTCCTTTCAGTAAAGATGGGCTATTATCACCCACCCTGTGTTCAATGGATTGTTCTGAAAATTAGCATAAATGGAAGCACCTAATATTGGGTATTCCATAAAAGAACAGAAGAAACCCATTAAGTGAATCTGAAAACTAGGCTTCCAAAATGAGAAGTGATTACAGCCTACTACCTTTTATCTCTACTCTTCAGCACTAGATGAAATTTATTCTTACATAAATACAATTTTCAGGAACAAGCACTTAACACCAGACACCCTCAATTTACATAATCAAAATATTATTCTGCAAGTTATACACCACTAAACTGTTTTAAAATGCCTAAAAAAACCCACATACAAATAAGGTAATAAGGCTGGGGGGAGAATCTTTCAAAAAGTATTAACACCAAATAAGTTTAACACTAAAATGTGAAATGAAATATGCATAACCAATTGTGGATAAAATGAGAGTTTCTATGGCCAGGATTCTCACCAGGCCATGGTTGACTAGCTCACTGCACACCTGTGGGCAATACATGGCTGTGAAGAGAGGCCCAGAGGATGGCTGTGCGGACAGAGGGGTCCAGAGGCAGACACCGGCCTGCTTCATGCAGACTCGCTCTGAGTGAACAGGATTTTAGTGACTGACCTGCCACTGTGAGAATAAAGTTGGGTATAACCCTTTCACCCCAAGAACGTTTTGCTGTCATTTTCTTTGGTCACACTGAATCCATAGCAAACTTGCCTGGGCCTGAAACCCATTGGCAAGACACCAATGTTAGCTATATAAGTCACTATCTTATTGTGGAAGTATCAACCTTAAATTAATGTGGAAAAAAAGTTAAGTAATGGGTGGTAAAGTATATAAAATATAGCCATTAAAATTACTCAATAAAAAAACCAATATATAACAAAACAGAAATTCGCAATGGCAAAAAGTAGAGTCCCTAATTTAAAAAAAAAACCTTCACATAGAAAGACATAAAAAACTGGGAATATACACCAAAAACTGAAAACTTTCTCTGGTTCTCTGTTTTCCTTTTTTTATTGTTCTAAAAATGCTCTTAAATCAACAAATTTAGATTTATTGTTGCAAAAAACATTTTTATCTTTTTGGGAAAATTTTTGATTTGTTCAGTGACTCAATTTTCAAAATACAACAAATTCAAAATATAACTGACAAAAAATCAAAATGTAGTTAAGACAAAGGCACTGGGATGGTGGTAATAGTCTATTGACATGCATGATGGTTATTATGTATTCGTAAAAATTCATCAATTATATCTCAAAGCAAAATTAATCAGATGTACTCATAAAAGTCATGTACTTGACCATACATCATTATGTACTTACTAGAAAGCTCTATAGATTATAAAGCCAATTCTAAACTAGGCCCCAAGGTTTTCAAAAAAATTGTATTAAGTACTTATGGCTGAAATGTACTTAGGATTTAAGATACTGTAGGTGAGGTGAGTTTACTCTAACAGTTTAATCCAAACTATTAAGTGATTAATGGGATAGGATTCCCAAGTAACTTTCATTTCCTATGCCATGTAATTTTGTAATGTTTGAACTTCTCTACTTTTGAAGTAAAATGGTTTCAAAGCATGGAGACAATCACAGGTTACAACAAATTCCGAAAGGGTCCACAAATTCTTTTTACCTGGCTAGATTTTAAAGTTTTAAATAAAGGAACCATCTCCTGGGGCTTAGAAATCTAGCTGCAGAGGTCCTTCTTGTAATGGAATTGTATCTACAAGTTTTATTGTTTAGGTTTACCATTAAGCAAAGCAGTATTAATTCCCCTCCTCCCTGCCCCCCACTTTACCTGTGAGGTCAGTCCTGAAAGAGCAACAACTCCTGCAAAAGGAAACTGATGCAAAGGGCAACCCACAGCCTTTACACTTGTGATCCAAAGAGAACAATACTAGATTACCCCTATCCATTTTATTCAGACCAACAACCAGTCCTCAAGAGGTACCAATTCTTAACATAGGCAAATGTAACAAATAAGAAAATGGACTACCCATAGTTACAAACATTTCTTTTGAAAAATGGGACCCCTCAATTATAAAGACTTAACAGTCAATGTAAAAATAAATAATTAAGGGAGTGTTGGGGAGAAATGGAGAGTGACCACTAATAGGGGTTTCTTTTTGGGTGAAGTCCTAAAATTGTGGTAATGGCTGCACAACACTGTGAATACACTAAAATCAATGAATTATAACTTTAAATGGATGAATTGTGTGGTAGTGGAATATCTCAATAAAGCTGTTTTTTTTTTTTAAAGGAATTGCAAAATATGACAAAATACTGGTAACTGTTGAATATTGGTAATGGGTACAATTGGTGCAGTGGGGCGTTTCTTCTGAGATGTTTGAAATTTTTCATACTTTAAAGATTTTTCCATTTCTTTAACAGAATACACTTACAAACTAGACAGGTCCTTTTATCTGTACAAGAACAGGCTGAACATGATTGTTTTTGTCTGAGTAACAGCTGCATTTCAAGTGTGATAATCCCACAAATCTTTTAAAAACTACTTGTCACATTCCTGTTTTAGGGACAAAACAAGCAGTTGTTCCATTTAGCAGCTCAATACCACAAGTCAAATATTTTTAAAACTTTGAGGCTTCTGTTAAATAGACCTACGCAAGGGTTGATCATTCGATTTTCTTTTGTCTAAGTCCTCAATTCCTTTGGGAAACCATACCGCAAGAGAGATGCAGTCACTGTCAATTAAATACAAATCTTCTAAAAGAAAAAAACAGCCTAATTTAGCTAAGTGGTCTATCCCAAGTTGTCAGCATACCTATTTTGCGTAGAGGCCTTCTATTTTATATTCTATTTCTCTTGGTTAGCCTTCAAAGAAATACTCAGTGTTTTATACGTGTTCCTTCTCTCACTCCCCCAATGCTATAGTTACCCCATGCAGAAACTGAAGCGGGAAGAGGTTAAATAACTTAATCCAAGGTCACAAAGAGCAAATAATGGAGGCCAGAATCTCCTTTCTTTAGCACTATTTTAACTACCCACTCCATTAACTACCAGAGGTGAAGTGAACTTATTTAACTACAAAAGTCCTCTTACCTGTATGAGTTCGAACATGTTGAACATAATTGTTTTTTCTGTCTGAAAAATAGTTGCATTTCCCACATGTGTATACTTTCCTTGGAAAATGGTTTCTCAAGTGTTTCCTCCAGTGATATTCGCTTACTGTTGTGTACGTGCAAATGATGCACTTGTAGACTCGCTCATTATCCCCAGCTCTGGTGTGGTGCTTCAGGTGAGCAGTATAGTGATCATAACGATTGGTATTGTAGCCACATCGGTCACAGCGAATGGGGCCCTTGGAGAAATCTCCCTCCTCCACAGTAGAAGAGCCAGATTCCCTGGCTTTTGCTTGCTTCTCTGCACTTTCTTCCACGAAAAATTTCTTGGCACTATGAACTCTGATATGATGTACAAACTGTTCTTCAGATTCTGCTTCATACTGGCATGGCTTACAGCGAAAGGGTTTGGTCTTCAAGTTCTTACATTTGTCCTCTGTTCCAGGTGTTTCCAGAGGAAGGTCTTTATTTGAGTCATAAGTTTCTGGGGCAGCTGATACTTCGAACACAGGCTGTGGTTCTACCACACTGAGCTCCAAACTTTCCAGTTCCATGTTTTCTAGTCCACTGGGTTCACCTTTTATTTCAGGAGACTCATCCAGTCCTTCTCCATCACTATCTGAAAAGTTGTTATCCCCCACAGGCATCAATTCTGCCATCTGTCTCTCTTCACCCACCAGGTAATCACAGCAGCTGCCATTTACTTCTCCAGTTAAGGCCACATTTGCCAACATGATAAGCTGAGGCGCAGCCAGTTCAGCTTTGGAGAGGTCATGCAAGTCATACATGTCGTTAGGCAAGGCCATGCCAATGTTGCCACCACTGGTGAATAGCCCCCCTCCTCCAGAAGACTGGCCCATTACCTGGGTGGCCATAACTGTATTCTGAATGCAAAACAAAACAAAAAAGCACCAGTTTAAATACAACCTTTACTGGTCTAAAATCAAAACATCATTGTAATTCTTCACAACTCAAAAATAAAAAAAATACAAAGAAAACAAACGCACACCTTTCCAATATAATCTTTAAATTCAAGGAGTTTCATTTACTAAAAATAAACGTTTAAAATAGTTTTGTAATTCTAAATTTTCTTTACAGCAGTAACCAAAAATATATTCCTATTACCCCTACAAAAAATTCTATCAACAGTTTGATGTAACTCATCCATCAGATAAGTCTACCACTGGCATGCTTTTGCTCCAGCACTTTCGATTTTTTGGTAGGAAAAAATATGTACCCTTCATTTTTAATGGTAATTAAAAAATTTTTTTAATTCAATACATGAACAGTAAACTGCTCTCCTCCCAACTCTCACCCCCCAAGTGTCTACTGGCCTGAAATCATAAAGGGGAGAAATACAAAAGCCAAGTGTGCATTTCTTAAGTACAAACATATTTGGAAAGGAGAAAAAAGCTTGTAATAATTGGTCAACTGAGTTGAACTTCATATGAATTCGGTAACTTCAAAATAAGTTACTCTGAAAAAGTATCACTGAGTTTTATTTTTCTGATGACTTGTGCTACTTAAAAGAAAAACTTTAAAGACCTTTTTCCCTGTGATTAAGTATAAGTATTCAAAACTTCACAAATGAAAATAAACTTTCAAATCCCCTAATAAAATAATCGTACAACTCAATTGGACAGTCAGCAACTTTCTTGCATTGTGCTTGACTTGGCCTACTTGCCTAATGGAAGCCATTACAAGATCACCCTTCTTGAAAACATGTTGGGACTTTTTTAATCGTCTTAACCAAGGTCCTTCTCAACCTAAAAGGTACTATTCTCAAATTAGGTGTTCTCTCGCAAATCAGTGAAAGCAAAATAAGTGGGAAATACAAAAAAAATTTTGGTAAACCTAAAATACAAAATGTAATCCGTTTCACCCAAGTGCCCAAACACAAACCGGTTGAGTTGCATGTACCAACAAAAGTTGAAATCAAATGCCATCACAGAAAACAAACGCAGGGCAAAAGCCGTCCCAGGGCTTAAGGACGCAGGCTACGCGGTAATCTACCTAGACAGATTTTTCTGACACCACCCAACCCCCCCGCCGTAATTACCATCCCTGAAGGAATTTCAACGTTTGTAGGGAAGACCATCCCAGCACGGCCCGAAAGCCCAACGTGCCGCACGAATTCCTACGTGCCCTGCCACCAGCGCCTGCCTCGGCGGCGGCATTCCTAACTGAAATAGGCATTCGGCCATTTTCTCAAAATACCAAACACAAAGCAGCTCTTTGCAAACTCGGGCGCTCTCGCTTCCTCTCGGCTCGGCCCGCTCACTGCGCACATGTACACAACAACTAGCGGGAGTTGTCCCAACACTTATCCTGAAGGTTCTCCTGAGTTCCCCAACTTTATAAAGGCGTGGGGGGCAGACTCGGGACGCCGCTGGGCCAGACCAAGTCCTACCCGCCCGAGCTGTCCCCTCCCCGGCCCGGAAGCCCGGCCCGTCCAAAAAAAAGGAGGCAAGCTACCGCGCTGCCGGCGTCTCCGCTCCTCTCCCCGGCCCTGGACTCGCCGCCCGCAGAAAGTCAGGGACGCTGCGCGGGCGCCCCCCGCAGGCGTCGGGCTCAGGCGCCGGAGGGCCCCCCGCGCCCCGGAAGTCTGCGGACTCACCCCCCCACGGCGCCCCGCGGGACTCGAGCCCCGGCCTGGCGGGCTCGGGCGGCGCGGTGGCCGGCCGCGGAGGGGCGGCCCGAGCGCAGAAATCGCTGTCCAGCCCCATTGGCGGAACCGCCCCGGCTCCGGGGCTGACTCAACCCGGCCGGCCGCACTCAACGGCGCCTTCCGGCGAAAAGGAGAGGCCAGGGAGGGAGGGGGACGGGAGGGCGGCGGGCAGGCGCGGGGCTGCGGCGGGACCTGGGAGCGGGAGCACGAGAAGGAAGTTTCAGGACTAGGGCCCCACGCAGCTCCTCTTCCTGGCCTCAGGACGCCATCCGAGGGGCGCCCGGCCCGAGCGGAGGCGGAGGCCCAGCCCCGACTGGGGAAGGGGTCCCGGGCCGCGCCGCTCCCCGCGGACGCCCCCGGCCCAGGCCCCGGGCCGCGCCGGCGTAATCTGATCCCGCTCGGCCGCCCGCCCCCGCCCGGCGCGGCCGCCGCCGCCGCCGCCGCCAGAGCCACAGTATCTGCAAATCAGCCCTGGACAGCGCCTCGCTCCGCGTCCTTCCGCGCCCTCCCCCAACCGCCCCCGGCCCCGCGCCGCGCTTACCGGCCTACCTCGGCGCGGGGGGGCGGCCGATGCGACGTCGCCGCCCCTTCTCCCACTACTTTTCTTTGTTGCTGGAGTTTCGAGGAAGGGGAAGAGGAGGGTGGAAAAGTTGGGCGCTGGAGACGTCGAAGCCCGCGAAGGCTCAGGAGCGAAGCCGCAGAAAGTGCTCAGGCCGCCGGCTCTCGCCTTGCGGTCCCCGCCGCCGCTGCCGGGGTCTGGGGCCCGGGGCTTCGGCGGCGTTGGCTCTGCTGGGGCGCCGCGAGCTCGCGGGAGCCACACATTCCAGCACAGGAGGTTACGCCGCGCACCCGGCCCGCGCCGCCGCCGCCCGCGGGACACGCCCCCTCCGCTCGCGCGCGCCCGCGGGACACGCCCCCTCCACCTCCTGCGCGCGTGGCCGCCTGGCGCGCCCCGCCCCTTGGCAGAGGGGTTGCTCTGCGCCCGCGCTGGGCAGAATGCGCGCCGAGGGGGAGCCGCACCTAATCCGCTCAGCCCCTCACTCCTGCCCTTAGGTCAAAAAAGAGGCGGGACCCGCTCCCCTTCTTGATTTCTTTTGTAAACAAACAACAGAAAAGTTACACACACACACACACACACACACACACACACACACACACACACACACACACACACACACACACACACACACACACACACAC